AGCAGCGTGGCAGTTTAGCATGTCCCCAGCCGGAAAGACCCACACCTGAGGAGAGCCTAAATATAAAGACCTGAGCTCAGAAAAGTCTGTCTAAATCTTTAGATGGAGGGGGGGAACTTAAGCTTTGCAGTTAGAGAATTTATATTCGTCTTCAACGATGATTCATAAAGTTGGATTTGGTGTAGAGTGTGTCATATTCAGAGCAAGGTCAGGAGACTTAAGTTAACTAGTAACTTGATAGGCTTAGTTCATAGCCCTCTAATTTCCAAAAGCCTTCTGAAATGATTCAGTCAGTAACTCCTTTAATTTAGTCTGTTACTCTGGTAGAAACAAGTAGTTTTCATTGGCCCTGTCTTTAGAAGCACAAGGTCTTAATCGGTTAGGTTTGTTACTTTTTAATAACTTTGACAGCTTTCAGATTTTATTATTTTTTTCCTAGCTTTCCATTTAGACCTATTCATTAGATTAGTAGACCTTACTATTAATAGTAGTACATGTTAAGTTTATGTTTTTATGAGATCTCTTTCAAAATACTGTGTTTTTACAAAAATTTAGTTATACAGTAAACCAGAAACATTTATGAGTTCAGTTATATCTTTCTTGGCCATGCTCTGGTATTCCTTTTAGGGATTTTTAACAAACAAATTGGATAACTTGCTGATTCTCCAAATAATGCAGAAGCTGAATTATTAGTTTCTAAACAATGAATCTAAAGTTAGGAACATTTTTTTAGACAGCTCTAAAAACTTGCCCAACCTTACTGTCCTGCTTTCCAGTTTTTACTGGAAATAGTGTTATCTGTTACTAAAAACAAAACAAAAAACAAACCAGTGTAAGGTAAGCTGGTGTCAGTTTTGTTTTGTGTCTTCTGTAAAAATATCTTGGGTACCCTGTTTACAGCTCCAAGTGCATTTTGCATTTTTTCTTTGCCTAGAGTCTCAAGAACATGGCTGCTTCTTGTACCCTCTTTTGCATTCTGTGTTCATTGTAGCCATTTTTTTTGGAACAGGTGTCTGGAGGGTAGTAAATACTTGACTGTGAGAATTTATATGATCAATCTCTGGTCAGTTACTGATGCCCCATAGATGACGGTTCAGGGGGTACCTAGTAGTTCAGCAGGACTACACTGTATCTTAGCCCTTCCCCCCTTGTTTCCGTTTGACTCCATCTAGACATCAGATTCCAGCTTTTTCTGAAGACCCCTCTCTTCCATATCCTAGAAGTCAGCGTTCTCATTTTATCAATAGTTTTTCCTTGTATCTGTGGTCTTAGTTGAATTTTCCCTGAGCTTCCCCATAGTTATTGAGAGAGAGCAGTTATTTTTCCCTTTCACTCCACAAAACTTCTTCCTTTTGCAAACTGGTTTTTGGTCCTGGCATAGGTCAGTTGACTGAGGAGCAGGTATGTCCCAGCCTCTGGCTCTGCGGACTTTAGGTAAGTCATATTCCTTTCACCTCCTTTTGTCCCTTATATATGATTTAGTTCCTCTTTCATCTGTGGGTGAGCAGCTAGTAGTGTGGCACAGCTTAACAGAGTGTAGTGCTTCACAGAGAGGGCAGTGCTGGCTCCCAGGCCCAATGAGGTGGGAGAAATGGGGAGATAATGGTGAAAGGCACAAAGTTGCAGTTGTATAGGATGAATATGTTCTACATATTCAGCCATGCCTGAAGATAATGTTAAACGTTGTAGGTATTAAAAGTGTGAGCGAGATATAAGACAAATACTGTAAGATAAAATCTTCAATCACAAAGTAAGCATAAAATCAACAAATTTATTGAGCACTGCTTTTTAAGACATGTTGCTAGTCTTCCCCAAAACTGAGTTTGGAAGCAATTGATGAATAAAAATCTATATATTTATAAAGATAATTTAGCCATATAAGGCAGTAAAATGGTAAGAGTTAAAATGAACACAGCATCTTAAGTTCCACAGGAGTTCAGGGAATAAGGATTATTCTAATGGTAATAGTTATGTTCCCATTTTGTATTTATAGGTACACAAGCAAATATAAATATTGTAATTTAGTTTTATTATGGACAATTTTTTTGCTATTTGGTTGATGCCTTGCCACGATTTCATACAGAAGCAAAAATGCTTGACTGAATGCTTCAGAAAATAGATCTTATAAATGCCCGTTGAGAAAAATTCCCACTCCTAACCTTGAAAACAGTTTTCCACTCTCTGAAAACATTTTTATTGGTATGTTTTCCTTTTTTCTTCCTTGAGAAAATCTGACAAAAATGAACATAAGCTTTTTCTTATGTTTATGTTCTAAGTTGCTTTAATTGACTGTTTGCAAAATGCATTTATTTCACTACAGCAGCTTAACTCAGTTACTTTGGACAGAGCTGAATTTATAACAAATGAAGAAAACATTTTCATATATTTTAGATATTTGTTCTCCTTCTCATTCTTTAAACTGAATGATACTAGAAGTATTTGCTACAGTATTCCAAATGTGGTCTTTCAAATAACTTTTTGGAGATCATTTTTGGACCATTGTAAGAAAATGTGTGAAAAAGAAAACCAACTACCCAGAGAAACTACTCAGTACCTTGCTATCCTACTTCCACCTGTTTTCAAAGACTATATATCATAGGCATCATTAGGTTACCATTCAGTTTTGCATCTTGCTGTACTTTTTTACTTAACATCTATTAACCTCTTCCCTTGCCATTAACACTTTTGTGAAAAGTGACTATAGAATATTCCTTCATATGTGGGTATTAACCATTTATTAAGACATTTTTCAATTGTTGTTTTCCATGTGTGATTTTACATTTTTAGACTATCTAAATCTACAATGAACATTTTAAAAAAGATTTATTTATGCACACAAGAACTGGGGTACAGGCCAGAGGTATGGGGGATGAAAAGATTCACAGAGGCAAGAGTGGAGAGCAGGACAGTTCAATTGATTGAAATACACTGCTGAGGGGAGCAGCGGGCTCCCCTGTCACTCCATGTGGGAATCTCCCTGGCTGGGAATTGAGTAGTGCTGCTGCTCAACCCCTTGCACCACCAGGGAGGCCCCCTATAATGAACATGATTAATAATTTGAACCTGATTTTTGTTTTTTAGGGCTAGATTTACAGTAGTAAATTCTGGATCAAAGGATATAAATCCTTTGATAAGTGAGGCCAGTTGCTGTTCAGAGAGTATGTGCCACTTTCAGCAGGATATGAGAGTGCTTAACTATGTTTGCCAGTACCAGCCCACTACAGTATTTTTAACAACAATCTCTATTTCCATTTGTTCTTGTTAACTGATTTCAATAATTTTTTGACATAACTTATGCAAACCATCTGAGATATACTTTTAATATAAACTACTTACTGTATAGTTCTCAATGAAGTGGATCAATATTCAATTCAAGCTAAAAAACTCAAGTCACAAAATAGTATGTACGATAATTACATAGGAAAATTATGTAAATGTGTAAACCTTGTAAAGGTATGTGCTTAGTGTGAGTATGAGTGATTTTTAAATTTCTTTGTATTTTTCCAAGTTCTTCTAATTATGTAATTTATTAAAAAGTAGAGCCCCCTAATTAAGCTGTAATACAAATACCCCATTCTCAAGAATTTATAAGCCACCCAAAAGCATTTAACAATTTAACCTTGTTGGTAATTCGACAGTATGTTTTTTTACAGTAACATTTTGAAGTTTCTGTATTTACTTGAGAAAGTACACTATTTTTGAGTACTGGTAGTGGACATTGACCCTCATGTTTTCTGGGAAGTACTTATATTGAAAATGTTTCTGGTTTTAACTTCTTTGTGGATATTTTTAAGATATACTTTGAATGAGAGGTTGAATGTTTGCCTTGCATAGAAAAATGTGAGAAATTTTATTGGAATTTATAGTGCCCTCTTGGTATACCAAAATTGCTTAGGATCTGAGTGATCCACAAGTTAGCATGGTAAGTGTTCTTTATGTTAAAATTAATTAAGAGGACTATAGTGGAGTTGTTTTTTTTTTCCTTCGCTCTGTATGGGTGTTTTGGTGGTAGGTGCAGTGTGATAACAACTCCTAAAGGGGGAGATTATATACTTTGAAAACACAAACAACATTGTAAACCTATGTTACTGCAATTAAAAAAAATCTAAACTCCTTGGAATCGTTAATTACAAAAGAAAAAAAAAATAAGGAATGAGAACAGTTCAGAATGAATTCTCTTGCAGCCAAGAAACATGAACAGTTTTTGATTTTTGCCTTATATAGTAAATTTATTTTGCCATGGCCTTTATAACTTAGGAAATAGCCTCATGAAAAGTTCATTCAGTGGAATATACTGTTAATCAAAATCATTAATAACCATTGTTATGTACTTTAAAAAATTGTAAATTTAGAATATGATCTACTTAAATAATTTTAACAATAAAATGAAAAGGTAAGGTATATTAAAATAAATTGGAAGTGTCTGAATTCATAGTGTGTGGTAAGTAATAGGTTAAATTGAGATAGATAAGCTTATTTTCACAATCAACTTGACATCACAAAATATTTTTAGAAGATGAGGTATAAGTCTGCCTGATTCTTTTCCTTCTCTCTCCTTTCACTTGAAATTGATTTTTCTAGATTACTAAAATAGCATGTGAGGTCTCGTCCCAAAGATTCTCATTGATTCAGTGAAAATGTGAAGAAAAAAATTTTTTTCCAGTATATTCCCCAGTTACACATTTCCAGGAAGATCTGAATTCTGAACAGGTCTCAGTTATATACAATTTACAATCCTAATTTGCAACACCTCAAATTTTGTTTTACCTACAACAAAACAATCCATGAAATTTGTCAGTTTAACACAGAAAAAAATGCCCCTGCAAGAATGTCTTTTAATTATTTCTAGATGAGAAAACAAGAAAAATAGTAATATTAGATACAGAACTTTTCAATAACCAGTTTGCTTTCCTTGATAGAGATTGATATGCCTTTAACCTTATATCACAACCTTAGTGAAATCACACACTAATTAATATTATTTTATTGTTTTGCTATAGATGTGTTCTTTGTGCCATTGTCCTGGAGCAACAATTGGTTGTGATGTGAAAACATGTCACAGGACATACCACTACCACTGTGCATTGCATGATAAAGCTCAAATACGAGAGAAACCTTCACAAGGAATTTACATGTAATTATTTAACTTCTCTTTAAGTTTTTTGAACAGTTATACTTTCTTAGGCTTAAAAAAAATCCCATTTCAAAGCATTTCAACATCATCATAAAGGGTGTTTTTGGTAAGGAATTTGATGCTTAGTTTAGAGAAATGGCATAGGGCGTTTAACAATGAGACTCTTGGAATCCAGTTTGTAAATGGGGTGAAGTATACTACTCATTTTATTATTTTGAAAAATGAATTTAACTAGTTGGTCTGCTTGATAAATTTTAATTTCATCATTTTTTATAGGGTTTATTGCCGAAAACACAAGAAAACTGCACATAACTCTGAAGGTACGTCATTCAGCCACTTTTCAGTTTCAAGAAGAAATTGGAATAAAATATATGTGGATTATACCATATTAATTTTTACGATAAGGTGTATTTCAATAATGAACATGTTTTGAAGAATTAACAGCAGTATTAGGATAAACTAAATTACGTAGTAAAGAAAAAAGTCAGAGTTTTTAAGAAAATTTTACCCCGAAGTTTTTTGTTAAGAATACATTGAGAATATATTTATCTTTTGGAACAAATTGTTAGTGGTGATGGATATTTGTGTCCATGTAAGTGTGTTAGTATATTGTAAAGGTAATATTTGAGATCCTTACTGCATCAGAAATAGAAAATGTGAAATGAGGATTCTAGTACGTTTTGTGATCATTAGGCTTTCTGTTCAATTTTTTTTTAAAGATTTATTTTATTTGTACATACAGAACTGGGGTACAGGCCAGAGGCTCATGGGTGGCGAGAGGATTCACCAGAGACAGAGCGGGGAGCACAACAGTCAGATCTACGAAGCACACTGCTGAGGGGAGCAGCGGGCAGCAGCGGGCGGGTCAGGAGAGGCCTGCCGCGCAATGTGGTCACCTCCGGGGCAGGCGGGGATGGAACTCATGCGGAAGTGGCTTTGGCTTCTCAGTGCAGTGCTTTAACCTGCTGCGCCACCAGGGAGGGCCCTCTGTTCAATTTTTATTCACCTGCTAGTACCTTCTTAACAGGCATGTTCATAAGAACTAAACAGTTTTACAATACAAACTTTGAAATTATTTTATAGTTTTTTCCACTTCAGTTTATACAAGACCAGGTTAGACATGTTAAGTTTAATCTGAAATTGTCCTGCCCCTCCATTTAAATTAGAAATCTTTAACGTTTTGTTAGATCATGAGAACATGTTGCTTAGAGTTAAAAGGTTTGAGCCCATTTTGGGTAGTTGTTTCTTTTTATAAAGGCCTACCAAATTATCAGGGTTAGCATATTAAAATTTTTGATCACTTAGATCTTTACTTTCACAATGCAAAAATAGTATTGTTTTCACTTTGCACCCTAGATTAGTCCACATATTTTAAAGTGCTGGTTAAAAATACAGTCTTAGCAAAAACTTGTCTTTAAGGTAAGCAGACAATAAATTAAAAAATGTTTTGAGGTGATTAAGTGCAACTGATAAACCTTTAGTGTTTTTCTTCAGTTCTTTTGACACCTAATTTTAGGGGAAAACCATTTGTGAAACAGTAAACTTTCATCTTTCATTACTTCAGACCTTAACAGTGTATTTATTTAATTGTCTTTAACTCTGTAGTCACTGTGTATATTAGGCCAAGGATTGACACTTGTGATCTGACAAATACAAGTATATGAACATACTGATGCAGGATTGTTGAAGACGGCAATGATGATTAATACAGACTCTTCCCTTTTATTCCCTAGATTTCTGAGGCTGGTAGTACCATCTAGTGGTAGAGAAAAGTCATTGCAGACTATGTAAAGTAGAATCATTTTGACCACCTTTTTTGCTTTAAGAAACTTACTAATGAGAAAGCTCTAAATTCATACTTTTAATGTAACTGACAGAATTATTGCAATTCAAAGTTGTGATATAGTTTAGTTGAATTGGGGTTCAATGTATATTTTTATAGCACATTGGGGCCACTTGTATTACATTGTAGAACTTGAAGTACAAATTTGCCATTTAAAGGTATCACAAAATTTGTGCTTACTGAATTTTGATTTATCACATTAATCTAGTTTGAATTTGATACTGAGTGCTTTGTTAGAAGCATTAGTTCATTGTTCTAACGGGAAATGTGTCCTGCTTTATAATTGTGATTTCAATGGGGAGTTTCTAGGATTGTATTTTGGGGACTGTCTTTGTTTGAGAATTACACTACCCTAGTCTGTACAGCAAAGAGGAGTTGATACCTGTGGTGGTATCTTCATTTGCCATCAGTACATACTTTGCTAATATTTATTTATTTTTAAATATTTATTTATACATATAAGAACTGGGGTACAGGCCAGAGGTGCCAGGGTCAGGGGTAGGTGAGAGGATTCACTAGAGATAGAGTGGGGAGCAGAACGGGCAGTTTTACTGAAGTAAACTGCTGAGGGGAGCAGTGGGTGAGACAGGAGAGGTCTGCTGTACCATGTGGGTCACCTTCCTGGCCAGGTATAGAATTCATGCTGCAGTGGCTGTGAAAAGCTTTATATTGTTGTGCTTTAATCCCTTGTGCTGCCAGGGTGTCCCCACTTTGCTAACATTTAAAATGAAAAATACAATACAATTCAGTCTTTCCTGTTAGTCTGATATAACATAAACTGTGTCTGAAATACCACATTGGAGGATAATTGCATAATACAGCAATAATACTACATTGGAGGATAATTGCATAATACAGCAATTTACTTTTTTCATATGAATATTAGATACCTAAAACCTATGCCATCCATTTTGCTTCAGAGAAAAAAGAACGGACTGAGTTTGCAGAAGCAATTTTTCTTCAATATGTAGCTCAACGTATTTAGCCATTTGGAAGCCTAGCTGTCACTATGTTATAAGATTATTAGAATGCCAGCCCCAGTAACTGTATGTATTGACCTGTTAGTGATGATGGCCTTACACAGGCTGCCTAGGAAATGATTTACAACAAGGAAGGAAGAATTTCTGATATATGTATATATACCTTGCTGGTGGTACAAGCTGAGAACATTGTCCCTGCGGAGTTATATACAGACTGGTAAATGTATTTTGTTTATGGGCCAGACCTGTTTATGTAATCAGGGATATAGCAATAAACTCTCTTCTGCCCCCAAAGAGCTTGAGGTCTAATTCAAGAGTTGTACATTAAATGAATGACGGAATAAGTAAATAATAAATTTGAGGTCTTATTTTAATGTTGTGCATTAAATAAATAAGCATAATTGTGTAATTGTAATAAAGAGCACAAATACAAACATACAGAGTACCAGAAGAGGTTGTTTGGGGTACCTCTGAGGACATTTCATGTTGATTATCTCTTTAAAGGACTAAAGATAACAGTAGGAACAGGGTCCTTCGTGACAGAGGCAAAAAGAACTTGATGCTTTCAAGAATTGGGTAGAAAATTATGAAAGCAAAGAAATGATAGAGTGGCATTCTATCATAAGATGAGGTTGGGGCAAGAATGCATGGGCCAGATTGGCAGACATTTTCAATATTGTCCTAAGAACAATGGGAAGTGATTGAGGCTCTCAAGCAGGGGAGAAAGGCTTATTGCAGGACTCTTTTTTATTTATTTATTTATTTTAAGATGTATTTATTTGTGCATACAGAAGTGGGGTACAGGCCAGAGGCGCAGGGGCGGCGAGAGGCTTCACCAGAGACAGAGCGGGGAACAGAACAGGCAGATCGACGAAGTACATTGCTGAGGGGAGCAGCGGGCGGGTCAGGAGAGGTCTGCCACGCCATGTGGTCACCTCCGGGGCAGGCGGGAATCGACTCATGCGGAAGCGGCTTTAGATTGTCAGTGCTGTGCTTTAACCCGCTGCAGCACCAGGGTGGGCTAACTCTTTTTTTTTTTTAAAGATTTATTTATTTGTTCATACAGAACTGGGGTACAGGCCAGAGGTTCAGGGGCGGAGAGGATTCACCAGACAGAGCGGGGAGCAGAACAGGCAGATCTACGAAGTACACTGCTGAGGGGAGCAGCGGGCGGGTCAGGAGAGGTCTGCCGCACCAAGTGGTCACCTCTGGGGTGGGCGGGAATCGAACTCATGCGAAAGTGGCTTTAGCTTCTCAGTGCTGTGCTTTAACCCGCTGTGCCACCAGGGAGGGCATATTATAGGACTCTTAATGAATAATAACAGAAGGCTTGTGTTAAAGTTGTGGCTGTGGGGAAGAACAGAAGTAGATGGATCTGAGAGAGTTTGGAGGTAGGGTGAAGAAGATGGAAATATTAGAGATGGCGCCAGGGTTTCTGACATAAGCAAGTAGGTGGCTGGTAGTGTCATTCCTTAGAGAGTAGTATGGTTGGAGTATGCTTATAGGAAAAGTCGCTGAGTTACACTTTTTGAAAAGTCAAGTTTAGGATACCTATGTGAACTATTCAAATAGGAGTATGAAATAAACAGATGGATTATATGGCTCTTGTTTGTAGAATAGAGAGAAACCTCAGTAGAGATAGTAATTTACCAGCGTATCAATAATAGTATCTCTCTCTGAGTGATGGGAAATTTCGCTAGGGAAAGATGATGGGACTGATTGAGCCTGGAGGAACTTCAAGTTTATGGCTAGAGAAGGATGGGCCTGCAGTGACAAAGAGGACGGCTGACTAGAGAAGTTGGAGGAAGTGTTAGGTCCTGGAAACCAAGGGAAGAAAGGGAGAAAATAGTCAAGAAGGAACCAAATAGTCAACTGCACACTGTCACAAAAAATCATTAGAGGAAGTAGTTTTGATGGAGTGATAGGTACAGAAACCTTATTGTAGCAGAGAATGGGAGGTAAGAAATCGGATTCAGGGGACATAGGGAAACTTTCTAATATGTTTGCTTTTAAAGGGGCAGGGCAATAGTTCAAAAGCAGTTGAAGGATGCCTTTTTTAATTAAAAATTATTTTTCAGAGCAGATCTAGGTTCATAGCAAAATTGAGTACAATGTAGAGTTCTCATATATCCCCTTTCTCTCCTCTAATAGCCTCTTCTGCTATCAGCATTCCACAGTATGGTAGGTCTATTACAGTTGATGAACCACCTTTACACATTTTACCACCTAAAGTCCATAGTTTATTCCATGGTTCGTTTTTGGTGGCACACTTTCAATGGGTTTGAATAAATCTATAATGATGTGTATGCATTATTATAGTATCTTACGGGATATTTTCACTACCCTGAAATTCCTGTGTTCTGTTTGTTCATCCCTCCCTAATTCCTTTATTCTCCTTCTAACTCTCTTTACTCTCTTCATAGTTTTGCCTTTTCCAGCATGGCATGTAAATGGAATTGTATTGTATGTAGCCTTTGAGATTGTTTTCTTAAACTAG